AGAGAATGGCTTGCAGATGAAAAAAGATAGACAATAGTTGGACTTTAGTTGCATTGAATTGACTCATGGTAATATCATATGAAAAGAGTTAAATTACTCCCAGGATTTTCAAGTCTGTGATATTTCTAAAGCAGACCACCTGGCCTGTGTATCAGGCATCTGCAGGTGGTAGTAAAGGTCTTAATTATTGACACTACCCAACAACCTAAAGAAATAATGAAAGTAGGGAGTCTAATTAGCATATTGTACAATAGCGTGCATTGAAGAGTAGTCAGTGGACTCCTATGCGTTAGTATCCTGATCAGTATTACCACTGTTCAATGTAGACCACCTAGTCTAAGGAGATAGAAGATAAAGAGACACAGATAGAATCCATATTTATTTGGAGAATAGTCAGACTATTTATTGTATTTTGTTGTGGAGCATGATTAGGAAAAAATATGATATTGAAATTGTGTGTTAATATCTAAGAATCTACTCTCCTACATCCATTTTTCTTCCTCTCTTCTTCTCTTCAGTGTCTTCCTCTTGCACCCATTCCACCTTCTATCTTTGAAAGCAAACATATTGCAGAGCATAACCTACAGCGTAGTCTAAAAAACAATTAAAAGAATAGTCATTTATAGATGTGAAAGTCATGTTCAGATATTGGGATATGTAGTGTGTGAATTGTGAATGTAGAAACTGTTGAAATTTACATATGTTTTCTGTATAATATTGTCAACAAAAAAATAAACAATAGAGAATTTTTTTAATGAATATATTGACACGTTGTATTATAAGACATATTTTAACTAGATCAGTGAATGGTTGTTAAGAGGGTAGTTTGAAACTCTGCCACTAGAAACGCTCGGGTTGTTACTGCTTATTCCTCTTCCAGCTTCAGGGATTTCTTTACCCTTAAGAAATGTCTTACTACTTCACCAAAGAAGACATTCAGATGGCCAACAAGCACATGAAGAAATGTTCAAACTCCCTGGCTCTAAGAGAGATGCAAATCAAAACAACTATGAGATATCATCTCACCCCAGTCAGAATAGCAAAATTTAACAGAACAGCAAGCAACAATTGCTGACTAGGTTGTGGAGAAACTGGAACCCTTATTTCATTGTTGGTGGGAGTGTAAAATGGTGCAACCACTATGGAAGGTGGTATGGCACTTTCTCAAAAAGTTGCAAATAGAGATACCATTTGACCCAGCAATTTCACTACTGGAAACATACCCCAAAGAGACCATAAGTGACATCCAAGCAGATATATGCACACCCATGTTTACTGCGGCTTTGTTCACAATAGCAAGGAGTTGGAAACAACCTAAGTGCCCATCAACAAATGAATGGATAGAGAAGCTGTGGTATATTTACACAATGGAATACTACGCTGCATTGAAAGAACAAGGAACCCATGCAATATTATTCAAAATGGATGAACCTGGAGGACATCATGCTGAGTGAAGTATCTCAGTCACAAAAGGACAAATACTGCATGGTGCCACTGTGAGAAAGATGGGTTCAATAATGTATACTGCATTGAAACAGATAAGGGAGAAACCTGTTTAAAAGGGCTATGTGATTAGGTATTTTGTCATGACAGGAGTCCAGAGCGAAGGCTGCATAGTGGAATGGACCTAGGCGAGGGATTGTAAAACAATGAAAGAGTTTTTCTTTTACTTTTCCAAGAGGGTAGTGTACTAGGGGGGAGGGTTGGGAGGGGAGGAAAGTGCAATAATGAATGAATGGAAACCCAAAGTCTCTGTAAATTTTCATTGAAATTAATAATAAATTTTTAAAAAGTCTTACTAGACACTGTACTTTTATGACTCTTATGTTAACAATTGATGGAATACTGCTTTCTAGTGAATCTCTCTCTCTCTCTCACACACACACACACACACACACACACACACATAATTCTCTTTATATTTCCATATTCTGGAAGAAGTTTTTCTGTTCAGTTGAAATGAGTTTACTAATATATTCTATATAACGTGAATAATAGCAACTCTTATCACTCAAAGAAGCCCTATTGTAACAGTGATTATTTGTTCAATTACTAACCAAAAGGTTGATAATTCAAACCAGATATTCCAATAAATTTGGAATTATTTAGTCATGGCTAAGCTTGAGTGGCCTAGTCATAAGAAGCTGTGCTATAATCCCAAAGGCATGCAGTTCAAACCCACCAGCTGCTCTGTTGTAGTAAAAAGATGGGCAATCTCCTCTCATGTTTCTGCCTCTGAAAACCCACTGAAGGGTCAGCTATGAATTGGTTTGAGGGCACACAGCAACAACAGCAATGAGGAGTGTACAAGCTTCTGAAGAATCAAATCTGTCACTTGCATGTGGGATTTTGACCCAAGATGGATTGACACAGTAGCTGCAACAATGTGCTTACTCCCAGCAGAGAATATACGGATAGACAATGATTTTTTCTATTGTACACTGTGTCCATAGGAGTTAGAGACAATTAAGTGACATCTAAGCCATCAACAATAAGAAATAGAAAGTGAGTAGTGCTTTACTCAAAGAGGTACCCAGCATTGATACTTTAAGTGCATGTTTGAACTCACTAACAGCTCTGTGGGAGAAAAAAGTCATTGTCTTCTTCTACATAGATTAAATCATTGGAAATCCTAGGGGGATGGTTCTGCTGCCCAACAGCATTGCACTGAGACAAGAGGCAACTCTAAAGCAGTGAGTTTGGCCTTTTGGTTATCATTACTTATTTCCCAGTTAGTATTTTTTAATAAAAAGCTCATTTCATGAAAAGTTAAAGTATTCTATTAAAGTCATTTAATTATGTAAAAAATGAAAACAGACCCTAAAAGTGCCTAATAGATCAAGTTATATTAATCATGTGTATTTTAGTCTTAAATGTGTTTGTAATAAAGCACTCATCTATCAGACCTTATATACTTGTTTTTACCTCTTTTAATCTTTTAAGATATTCAAAATTACAATGAATAAGAAACCCCAAAGTATAATACTTTCTTTTAAAAATACAGGCATAGAAAGGATAAAATTAATTACAGCAATACCATACAAAGTAAGAATAATTGGCACAGACCCAATATTTGAAAAGTAAACATTAACTACATTAACACTTCTATTACAGAATTAAAACTATATACTTTGAGTTCAAGTGTGTATTTATTTCCATTCTCCCACCCTGTAATGTATACATGTAAATACAACACCAATAACCAAGAATAACAATATTATTAGCTAGCATTCATTGCTAAGTGCGTTAAATGTGTTTTTATTTTCACATATGCCTAAATGCTTAAAGATCATTTTCACATAGATGAAGAAACTGAGACTTAGAAATATTTAAATATTGTTCAATGTTTACACATCAAAAAGTTCTGCAACTAGAATTTATATCTACAACAGGTTGATTCTGCCTAATTATAAAGTATATATCCGTCAAAGACATAAAAGAATTTGTATTTTAGTGTCCTACCATTATCCAACAAATGCCTGACACAGAGTTTAAGGAAATAAATTTTAAGCTCAAGATAGACATTTCAGAAGCAAAGTTTTCTGTTTTAAAATGAAGGTAAGAATTTTCCTTGAACTGATAAAAAGGTAAGACTATATTTCCACATGAACCTTTTTATTTGACAGATTTCAAGGCAAGAAGGAAACATTTGTAACTTAGCTAAAAATAAACCAGTATTTTAAATTAAATATATAGTTTTATATGGATTTCCAGCATCATATTTCTTTGTAAACTTTTTGCATTTTATTTAGCTTCACATTTTAAAATATTCGATTAGGAAGTCTTTTGTGTTTAGCTATGTCAAACTTTAAAACTCAACATAAATGTGAGATTCTTCTAATGCCATTTCTTTCTTTTCTTTTTTGCAGAAGACTTGTTTTTCTCATGACATTGACCAACCTTCTGAATCCATGACAAAAGATGCTCTCCAGAACTCTTTCATATACTTCAATTAATTTAAGAAGACATTTATTTCCCATATTGTTCTCAGTATAAATCTGAAAGTATCAGGCAAGCATCTGTTTAGCTTTGTTACTCACAATGTTAACAATGGATAAGTGGAAAGTATTCTGTTTGTTTTGTTTCCATGTCCACTCTCAGAAACATTCTGAAACTAGAGTATCACATTTTACTTACTGGTGCAAAATTATCCCAAATGTAGTATCTCTTCCAAGTTATAGATTTAATATAAGATGCCCTTTGGTTGGGAATTCATGAAAATGAGAACGTGGCATTTTTAAAGCACCATTATCTACATAAATTAGTCCCAGTATCCTTTTTATCGGCTTTGTTTTTCTTTTCTTAGAGTTGAAAAAGGCACAGAGAGATGGGGTGAATTTTCCAGAATAACACAAATAAGAAAGAATTATACTTTTATTCTAAGATTCTTAAGTGTTTATAGAAGTAGTCTTCATGCTTTACATGGATTCAGTCATAAACTAGCTTAGTTAATTACGTTGCCTTTGAGTCTTTCAATTTTAGATTTGTTCTAAAAACTCATGACCTAAGGCATATTTTACTTAACTTTTATATTTCACTATGAAAATATTAATGAGATGAATATGGAACTTCCATAGAAATTACTAAGGTGCATATGTCAACTACTATGCATATGTCATTAGAACCACAGATGATTCTGGCATTCTTCCTTATGAAAAACTGTATGATACCACAACTTCTAGATGGATATGATTCAAAATTGTTTTAAAAATTCATCAAATATCAGACATGCACAAATTGAGATACATGCTCAACAAAAGTCACTTAGCTAAATATGAAGCACAGAATTAAAAGAATTTTAGCTGAATTCATTTCATTGTGTGAAATTTGCCTGAAATATACAATGAATTACATTAGAATGAAATTCTTTTTTGAAGAATACAAAGAAAGACACATTTATTTGTATGCCCCAGTTTTTAGGTAAATAGCAGAATACTACACTTTCCCCCCACTTTTTAAATTGTGATTTGATGATGCTAAATCTAGGGAGGAGATATGTGTCATTGCACTAGGATACGTGGTGTAGTTTTCCCAGTACTGAAATATTGGTTGTTTAGTTTCTTCTTCATAGCTGTCTTCACTTCCTGGTTTCTCAGAGTATAGATAAGTGGATTCAGAAAGGGAGTGAAAATTGTATAGAAAACAGAGAGAATTTTGTCAACCAGGAAGTTTTTGAAAGGCCACACATAGATGAAGATGCAGGGTCCAAAGAACATGAATACAACTATGAAGTGTGCTGTGCAAGTAGAAAGAGCCTTGGATGATCCTTTTGAGGAATGGTTCTTGATAGTGACAAGGACAATTATATAAGAGGTGAACAAAAGCAAAAAACTTATAAGAGCAATCACACCACTGGTTGAAATCATAAAGATCCCAAGAACATAAATATCTATACAAGCTAGCTGGATGACCAAAGGAAGATCACAGAAGAAACTGTCCACAACATTGGGACCACAAAAGGGCAAATAGAGTGTAAAAGCTAACTGGCTCATTGTATGCAAGAATCCTACCATCCAAGAAGTCACTACAAGTCCAACACACACTCTATGGCTCATAATTGTATTATAATGAAGAGGTTTGCGTATGGCAATGTACCTGTCAAAAGACATAGAAATAAGCAGCACAATCTCCGTTCCAGTGAAGAGATGCAAAAAGAAGATTTGTGAAATGCAGCCCTCAAAGGAGATAGTCTTCTGCTGAGCAAAGAAGTCCATGATCATCTTCGGAGTGGCAAAAGAAGATAGGCACATATCAATGGCAGACAAGTTGCTCAACAGGAAATACATGGGAGAGTGGAGGTTTGGGGAGGATATGACGGTGAATAATATCAGGCAGTTGCCCAACATAGTCATTAGATATAAAATAGTAAACACCACAAAGAGAAAAATCTGGATATCAGGGGAATCTGTAAGGCCAAGTAATACAAATTCAGACACTCTGGAATGATTAAATCCTTCCATTGATCTGCAGACGTCACCCTATATAGTTTTTTAAAGGACAAAACAAGATCATTAGAAAAATAGAATACTTTTGCAATTAGTTTAATTGTTTTTTAGCCAAACATTCTTCTAAGTGGTATAGCACTGGTCTGTTCATTTGCTGTACAGAGTTAACTTATGGTTGCTATGATGCTAAACACTGTGACACTGATGTATCAAGTGCAATAATGGTTACCAATGGTGGACAGTGTTTGGTGGAGTTCCCCGATTAAAACAATCTTGGAAGCAGGTGTGGCGTCCACTTCTGGAATAGCTTGCTTCCAGAAATTCTATGAACTTGGAGAAATGATGTAAGTTATACAAGTGTTCAGGTCTTTCGTTCATAGGGTCAGTTCGACGGCACTTAACAACAACAACAACTAGTAATATACCAACTACTAGTAATATATCCAAAGGAAAATAAAACTGAGGCACAAATGTAGAATTGTTCATCAATGTTCATAACAGCATTATTCACAATAGCAAGAAACTGGAAACAGCCTAAATGTCTAGCAACAAACAGGCGGATTAAGAAATTGTGAGACATTCACACAATGGAATACTATGTAGCACTCAAGAGCAATGACTTTGTAAAATATTGTATAACACAGGAGAGGCTAGAGAACATTTTATTGAATGAATGAAGTCTCAGAAGGACAAATAATGCCTAAGACTATTATAAAAATAGAAAGATAACTAATTATATGTACATAAAAGAATAATGGAGAAAGGGAGAGGAGAAGGAAAGCTGGGGAGAGGGTGCACTAGGAAATCACTGAGTCAAAGAGTATGGTGGACAGAGAAAGGGGGAAAGGAATTAGGAAAAAACCAATGAAAACTTGAAAAGACAGAGTGATAATGGGCATAGAGCAATGGTGATTAACTTTATAACACACAATGTATGGGAATGATCATTTGAACAATGTGAATGAAGGAATGTGTGAAAAACAATGTATAGGAATGAAATACAAAGTGTATTGTGTGTAAATGAATATAAAAATTTTAAAAACAAACAAAATTATTTCATGGAAAAAAAGGTAGAGCATACAGTAAGGAGACACATTGCACTGGAAAAATTTGCAGTTAGAGACCTCTTCAAATTATTGAGAAGTAATATTGTCAGTTTGAGGATTAAGGTGTGTCTGATTCAGGCCACAGTCTTTCCAATCACTTGACATACATCTGAGAGCTGGGCAATGATAAGGTTGACAGAAAAAGAATTGATGCTTTGGAGCTGTGGTGTTGGAGAAGAACACTGAATGACCAAGAGAACAAACAAATATGTTTTGGAGAGGGTGCATCCGGAGTACTCTTTAGAGGAAAGAATGATGAAGATTCGCCTCACATACATTGAATATGTTGCTAGGAGGGGCTGTTCCTTGGAGAGGAACATGATACTTGAAAGAGTGGAAGGTCAGTGACGAAAAGGAAGATCCTCAACCAGGTGAATTGACAAGGTGACTGCTGCAATGGGCTCTTGTGTATCAGGAAGCATGAGGATGGCAAAAGACAGAATAGGGTTCAAATCTTCTGTTCATAAGGTTGCTATGAATCATAGTCAACTCAACAGCACCTAACAAGTCATAAAGTCTTCTAGGTAACCAGCAAAATGTAAATATTTGACAGGAAATTCAGACAAATTATTTTGAAACTTATTCACGTTATTGAAAATTAACTGAGTAAAACTTTAATAAGTATTTTTACTACTTCATACTGTATATTTCTTTATTATTACTTTACTAATGACCACAAAGACATTCTACAATTAATTGCATATTCCATCTCAATTGAGGGATATAGATTGACTCCTTCCTACCACAAAGATTTTATTTGTCAAAGTCAAATCACTTCCTATCTAAAACCATATATGAGTTCTTCTGATACTTTAGACCCCAGGAGCAGTGACACTGTAAATTAATAACTTGGGAAGGACTGGAGAGCAGTTATGCTGAGTGAACTAACTCAGTCCCATAAGGGCAAATATTGTATAAAACCATTATTGTAGAATGAGTATAAGGATCAAAGAGGGATGAGAGAGTCAGGAAGCAGAGGGATGTGGATGTACAGGGGGAGGAAGGGATTAATCATCGGGCTGTACAATTTGATATGTGGGGGTGGTAAGGGAAATTGAAAGAATTCGTTCAAATTTGAAAAGGTGATTGATTCTTATCTATGTAAAAATTTTAGCATGCTGATAAAAGACTAAATAGTACATTTATATGTATTAGTGGCACATTGTAAATAAAGTGTATTATAAATATCAGTATATTAATTTTAAATTATATATAATATTAACAGAAAATTATGAAATTTGTCGCCAGAAATTCAGGCACTCTAGTGGTCTAGTGATGTGGAGTTAGGCTGCAAGCCGCCAGCTGATCAGCAGAAGAAGCATGAGTCATTTCCTCCTATGCAAGTTACAGCCTCTATAAACCCACTGAAGGGTCACTTGTGAGTTTGTTCCAAGTCAACAACACATAACAACAGCAGCAACAGCAGTAGGTGCACAGTTGAGAAATGCAGCTGCTAACCAAAAGGTTGGTGATCTGAACCCACCAAGTGATCTGTGGGGGAAAGATGAGGCACTCTGCTCCCCAAAGGATGAAGAGCTTTGGAACCATCACAGGACAGTTCTACTCTGTCTCACAGTCACTGTGAGTCAAAACTTACTGAATGACAGGGAGTTTGAGGGCTTTTTCTTTGTTTGGTGTATTTTGTTTATTTTTAGTTTATTTATAAATTTGGAGAAGAAGGAAATGGAAAGATAATTTAAAAAATTAACTATTCGATTTTCCTTTTATTTTGTTTCTAGTCGTTAACCCAAATAATACTGCAAAAATTAGTAATAAAAAAAAACCCCATTTGATGAAAATCCGAGACTATTGACTACTGAGCACCAGGCATAAAGATTTAACTATTCTAACAGAACCAATGAATCAGTTTATTCAAAATATAAGTTTTACAATTATGTGTTTTCTTTTCACTGAATGAGCTCCAGACTATTTTCAGTTAAGAGTAATAGTATAGTTTCTACACTAGATATTAAAAAAATCAGGTTTTTAAATAATTTTTGCTCTCTTTTTGGATAATTATCACAAATTTTCATTTTCACATTCTTCCTTTTGAACTGAAGAATCATGATTATTCTGTTTATGTAAATTTTACAGTCCCATTAGAAGTGGTAAAAAAAATGAATAGATCACTTTTATTATTACAGAGAAAAATGTACTAAATGTATTGTGCACTCCATAATGTGAACTGTAATTTTATTTTATATTTTGCACACTTAATGATTAACTTGAAATCTAACTATTGTTACCCTCAGCAACATTTTTCATTTAAATGACTCTTTAGTTTCTCATCTGGTGAAAAATCTACCCATGTCCTCATTTTACTTATTGCTGCTGTTGTTGTTGTTGTTATGTGCCTTCAGTCACCTGTTACTCATAGTAATCCTGTGTACAACAACCTGAAACACTGATTTATCTTGTGCCAATCTTATTGTCTCTGACACACCTACCTCTATTCCCCCAGTCACTGAATCAATTCATCTCATCAAGGATCTTCCTGTCTTACACTATCCCTCCACCCTTCCACACATGATGTCACTCTCCAAGGACTGGTCCCATCTTGCAACATGTCCAAAATATGTCAGATGAAGCTTCAGAATCCTTGCCTCCAAGAAGCAGCCTGGTTTAACCCTCTCTAAAATTAACCTATTTGTTCTCCTAGCAGTCCACGCTTCTCCAACACCACAGCTCAAAGGCATCAATTCTCCTCTTATCATCCCTAGTCATTGTCCAGCTTTCTGATGCATGGCAAGTAATTGTGAAAACTATGACCCCGGTCAGGCACACCTTAGTCTCCAGACTGACATTGTTGTTCTTCAGTACTTTGGAGAGGCCTCTGACATCAGAATTTCCCAATGCAATTTGTCTTTTAATTTCCTGGCTGCTGGTACCAAGAGTGTTGATTGTGGAGCCAACCAAACTAAAGCTGTTAACAATCTCAAACTCTTCACCACTTATTATGATGCTGCTGATTGGCCCAGTGGTGAAAATCTTTATTTTCTTGATGTTGGGCCTCAATCCACATTGAAGCCTGCAGTCCTTGTATTAAAACTATTTTTCTAATATTTATAAATTATATTTTAAATACTGTCAGGGAGCACTATTGCAAAAATCTTAAAATTGAACCACTAGTCAGTGGTCACAGTGCTCTTAATGTTTGACCTGGTTGGATCCTCATGTCATTCTACTGACAAAGGTCTATAGCAAACACCAAGTATATTTCCTGAATATTCAAGGGACTTTCTAGCTAAATTATAAATTCAAATTTAGAAATGCTGTCCAAAAATAACCAGCATGCTAAAGGGAGAAGAGTAAATCAGAAAAGAAGAGTGAGAATAATTGTACAACATCAAGTATATAATCAATGTTACTGAACTATGCGTGGATATATTGCTGCATTATTTATGCTTTTCTGTGTAGTCTCACTTTAAATAAATAAAGACAATTATACAATATTAAAATAATAGCCAGCCTATTTTATTTCATTAAATATAGGATTTGTTGCATGAAATGTATTTAGAATTCTCAACATAATAGAATATTTCTTCTATTTTCCTGATCTATTAATT